TTCGGACAACTCTATGGACTTAACACGTACGTTACAAGGATGTATACGTACACCCGCGCATAAAATATACACCGTGATGCACTGCGGACGCGCATTACCGATGCGACGCCCCGGTGTTGTCCGGGAAGTGAGGCGTAAAATTTTAGGATATTGGTGGAGCGAGCGAGGTCCTCTCAAAGGACCGTCGTAGTGCGCAACTCGATAATCCTCGCGCTTTGAATTTGAAAGAAACTATTTAAATTGTAAAAATCTAACCCAGATTCCGGGCGCGCGCAAAAGAGATACTTTTACGCGAGGGGAAAGCCCTCCTTCTCTCTCGTCCTTTCAATCGCTCGGATTAAAATTCATCGGGAGGGTGCCCCTCGCGTGCGAAATAACGCCGCCTGTAATAAAGCTCTTTGCGAATTTTCAAGATTAATTCGCAAAGAGACGATATATATTTTACGCGCGTATAATCAAATCGCGACGTCAACAATAAATTATGACGCAACGATTTGACGCTTCGCGCGTTATCTTCAACCGCCGTGCTGTTATCGAGTTTACAAATGTTTCCGCGTTGAGGAAAATCCTCTCGTGTGTGCAAAATTTCACTTTGCATTTTTAATTCCGCTTCTTCGCGCGCGCGCGCGCGCGCGTCGAGTAAAAACCTGCTTGTTTTACGAGATTTCCCAAACACGCGCGGCCAATTTTCACCGCAGACCTGAAAACTGTTTGCGCGACGTGTTTAGTGTCAAGAAGCGGGCGCTACCCCCTAAAAAAAAGGGGCAGGATGGCTCTGAAGGATCCGCGCGCGCGGATTCGAGCGCGCGGGAGGGTTGAAGAGCGCCGCGCACAGGCAGAAAGCCTGTGGTGGAGTGGCACCCACTTCTAGCTGAGATATGCATGAGCTGGCTGAAGTTACGCTACAACTACGTTGCTTACATAATATAAACTTCCACCCTTTCCCTTCCGCGACCCCTCTGTTTCTGTGTGCGCGCGAAAGGGTCATTCTCGGTAAGGCAACCCCGGGGATAAGAGACGCGAGTCGTGGCGCGAGTCGTCGAGCAAAGGATAGGAAATCATTTTAATTTTTCATGCGCGATATTTTATTGAGAGTCCGCAGTGATGATGCGGTCGTCGTTGGCGTGTTTGAAACATGAGGACGAAACCGCGGCGGCCGATCATCGCCGCGCGATTTATTTTCACGCGGATTCGAGCGCGGATCGGGTGTCGTTCGCGAGGCGGAATCTCTCTTTCTCTCTCGCAAAAAAAAAAAAATAAATAAATAAGTAGATTAGAATTTCTGCGCCGGGAGAAATTTCTACGTTGACTTAAATAACGTAGCGCGCAGACTGCACAAACGAAATGATTAATTTGTAAAGTAATTAATTTTACATTTTTCTCGTTTATATATTTTCAATTATATACACCGAAAAAATTATATTCTTGTAAGTAGAAGATTTTATACTTAAAAAATCTTCTCAAAGATTTTAGACGATATTCTTCTGAAATTAAGAATATATTCTTTATTTAAGAATATATTCTTAATTTAAGAATATAGTCTTTTTCGATAGTGAGATATATATGTTTTTCTATAAATGCTTTTTATATTGTAATCAGTATATGTTCTTATCAATATTACTATTTAGAGGATTTTCCTCTTAAAATAAGAAACTTCTTGGCGCCTATTTTAGTATAAAATATTCTTAAAGTAAGTGGGATATCTCTCTCCTCAAAACAAGAATACAATTTTTTCGGTGTATAAAAAGTTCGTAAAAACTATTGGATGTGCATTTCGCGCGTAACGTGTCGAGATCCACCTGAACACACATGCGGATTAAACGACATTTACGACCGCTATAAAGTAGATACACACACACACACACAGACACACACACTCTCCTTTTCACGTTTGCGAAAACCCTAAAACCGCCGACAGCCCCGCGAAGTTACGTTATCGGCGAATATAACGACCGAGTCCTTGTGGGGTAAGTTGGCCGAAATGATGGGCGACTTTCGGCTTTTCTCCGAAGGATACTCGCCGCGGATTTCCAAACGGATTCATCCGGAGTTCACAATTTAGATACACGTGCGCGACGTTCAAACACGCTCTGGCCAACTTTAAATTCGCTAAGCGTTTAGTCGATGTATCGCGCGATGCATCACACGCCGCTTTTATCGGCTTTCCCTCGTTCAACTCGCGGCAAATATTTATCATCAACCAAGTTGCATCGAGCAAACTGTCGAAACTTGCGGGGGTCAACATCGAATATTAATTCTCAATCACCGCGCGGCGCGAGATATCGATATACGTGAGTTTTGAAACGGGACTCCGACGGGATTCGTTCGAGTCGGGTTTTAATCTCGCGTCAATGAGTCGGAAATTTTAACTGTATTTATCTCGTAATGCGAATTTATAATGAATAATGTGCAAATTAATAATGGAATCATACCAGATCGCATTACGCGCGCGCGCGAAACCGCACGAACGGAGATCGCAAAGAAGAAGCGCAATTGGAGCAAAAAACTAAATCTCCTTTTTCGGAACGCGGCGCGAACCTGTTTATATATTCTGTGTGTATAAAATGGAGTTTTTTTTTTTTTATTAAATTGAGATCTGTTTTTTGTGAACGTATCAAAACAAACGCACTCGCTGTCGATCCGTCGATGTTACAAACGAGCGTGTTTTTAAAAAAAAAAAAAAACAAAATTCTCGAAATCCTACCAGAGAAAAAACACGTGTAAATAATCACAATCGATTCTATTGATCTCGATTGTGCCGCTTTTATCTCGATTCGATGTCGTACGAAATCAAGAGATACGACAAGAGAGGACGTGTCTTTAAAAAAAAACGTGTGACTAAAGTAAAGTCACGCGACTTTAGTCACGTGCTGGCGTTTTCCTCTCATCTCAATGTCACGTGACTTTAATCGCGTGTTTAAAAAACACGTGTCTTTAAAAACGTGACTACAATCACGTGACGGAGAAGAGAGGAAAAACACGTGATTAAGATAAATAAAGTCACGTGTTGTTTTTCCAATCCTCCCTCTCGCTATTTTTTGAGTTTGATTTTTTTATCCGTTATTTCTCACATCTCTCTAATGTGTATTGTATGGTTTGCAAGACACGTGTATATCTAGCTATCATCGCGGTGACAGGTTGTGTTCGCTGACACAACACGTTTAAATAAAAATAATCACGCGCGCGCGCCTGTGTTGCGCTAGTTTATACAAACGACGTGTTTGCGCGCCTCATTTTAATTTTCTCTCTCTCGGTTTTCCAATTTTCCTCTCAGTATTTTCTTAAAGACTTTCTGGCTTGCGCGAGAGAATTACGTAAAACGCGATATATATATATATATATGCACGTAATAGGATTCGCGCGCTCTCGGAGTCTTGTAACTGTAAATTACAATTATTACCGCTACCGCGCCGGGCACGAGAATTATGGAGGTACCATTACGTATTACTCGGTTATTACTCGCGCTGCTGCGCGTTCCGTGCACATGACTGTTCGGAATTGCAGCGTGCCATTAATGAGAGCGATTCATACTCTTATAAACCCCTTCCTCGCCCCTGCCCCTCTCAGCTAGACAAACCATCAGCTTGTTATCGCGCGATTCTCCCGCGTGATTCTATCGCATTTGTTACCGGAATTCCGTGAAACAACGTGTGTGTGTGTGTGTGTGTGTGTGTTTGGCGAAATTAAATAATACATTTTTGAAACATCACAAAAATGTCGATTTGGTAATTGCACCGAAAAAATTGTATTCTTGTTTTGAGGAGATATCCCACTTACTTTAAGTGTATTTTATACTAAAATAGGCGCCAAGAAGAGTTACCTATTTTAAGAGGAAAATCCTCTAAATAGTAATATTGATAAGAATATATACTGATTAGAGTATAAAAAGCTTCTATAGAAAAACATATATATATCTCACTATCGAAAAAGACTATATTCTTAAATAAAGAATATATTCTTAAATAAAGAATATATTTTTAATTTCAGAAAAATATCATCTAAAATCTTTAAGAAGATTTTTTAAGTATAAAATCTTCTACTTACGAGAATATAATTTTTTTGGTGTATATATATATATATATATATATATATACACGTACACCAAAAAAATTTTATTCTTGTTTTGAGGTGATATCCCACTTACTTTAAGTATATTTTATACTTAAAATAGGCGCCAAGAAGAGTTTCTTATTTTAAGAGAAAAATCCTCTAAATACTAATATTGATAAGAATATAAAAAGCCTCTATAGAAAAACATATATATATATATATATATAAGACTATATTCTTAAATAAAGAATATATTCTTAATTTCAGAAGAATATCTAAAATCTTTAAGATTTTTTAAGTGTAAAATCTTCTACTTACGAGAATATAATTTTTTCGGTGTGGATTTTGACGCGTGTGTTTGACTTTTCACCACATTGAGATTTTTGCTAAGAGAAGAAAGAAAAAATGCGTCCGTCCGCACGAAACGCGGGAGACTTGGATTCGACACCTAGTCGAAGAAGGAAGTGTACTTCCTGTTTTGGAAGTTTTAAATTTCATAGGAGAGAGTAAATTGGATATTTTACACGTACGAGAGATGTAAACATCCCACGTGAAGTTTCGAATTGCGATTCAATTCGAACTTCCATGTGTGTATTAATTTACACGTTAAAAAAAAATATATGTAACTGATGAAAAAACAACGTCGAAAAGAGAAACTCGGGAGCAAAATCGACCTAACAACTGCGGTCCATTGATGATAATTTATTCGGATTGGCATGATTAATAAATAAAGCAATCGTTCAATTTGCTTCTTTATATAAATTTAATTTGCGTTGCAATAAATTATCACCGGTGGATAATTTATTGCAACGGCAGGTGGATCGATTTCGCTTTAAAAAATACATTTTGTATATGTACATCCGAATATATTATATATATATATATATAGCTCGTATCTCAAAACTCTGTATGCTAGAAAAAGGAAAAAGATTTTTGTCTTTTACTTTCAGATCGGGCGGTTGATGCCTGATGGCGCGGGCTGGAACGCAACGCTGGAGAAATCCTGCTCCAGAGTAAGTAGACTTCTCTCTCTCTCTCGAGTTCACAAAATGGAAATAAAGCATGCGGGGGGCACGCTATGTATAAAACCGCTATATGTGCGCGCGGAGGAGACGGACGACGACGATGGTTCTCAAACGTTCGCCGTTCGTTCGGCGAAGACTCGGACGAAAAACTCGTGGCCGAGCGCCAAAAAAAAAAACGCGAGAGGACACAAGGTTAAGGCCGACGTTCGCGATGACGGGAAATCGTCGAATTAATTTCGAAATCGCATTATTTCCTTCGCGTCTCTGCGTTTTCTCTTTCTGTGTGTGTGTGTGTATGTTGTACGTTTTCTTGTACGTTTCTGTTTCGAGTTCTCGAACTTTACGTGCGCGCGCCGTAAAGTCGCCGTCGAGATTTCGACTTTAGGGCGCGGCGGATATTTCTTTCGCGCGGCGAGATTTCGAGAAACAACACAACGCCTGCTCGCGCAAAAGTTGCCGCATGTATTTCCCGAAACTGCTGACTGACGAACAAACAAACAAACAAACGCACAGAGAGAGAGAAAGAAAGAGTAAGAGAGAAAGATAGAGAGCAGGCGCGCGTCGATTTTCGCGCGACGCGACGCGATCCGGAAACTTTTGCCAGGCCAACCACTTCACGCCGAGAGTTCGGCAGAAATGGGAAAACGATGGTAGCGGCGGGGGTCGGTGCTTCGTGCGGGGATGAATTTGAATAAAAGGGAAACGCCGCGCGCTTCGTCCCCAAGTTTCTTGAGGGTTTTTGACCCTATACACCGATTTCCGCTATCCCCTTTCTGCCTTTTTTTTTTTTTCGAGACTGAAAGCCATCGGACGGAATATAATAATGAAGGGAAACATAAATCTCTCCGGTCTCTTTTGGGTCGAAGATTTATTAATCCGCCGGTACACAAGAAAGAGAGACGCCTGTTACTGTTTCGCAAACGAGACGTTCTCGAAAAAGATGATCGTCTTCCGATGAAATTTCGCGTTAATTGCCTGTCGGCGTGTCTCCGCGCCATCCGGTTACGTAACGAATCGAGATACTTGATCGCTAAAGCGTTTGAAACGCGACACAGATTGAGGATTATCTAATCTGAACGCGCGCGCGCGCAAACAAACACGCGACACCGAGCGCAATACGTAACGCAATCAACGCACCAGGTTTGAATCTCTGACACAGTACAAGATCCTCCCGGTCTCTCTGGTTTGTGTGTGCTCGCAATGTGATTTCTCTCCCTCGGTGCGTCTCGTTTGCGCAGATTCGCGACGCACGGAAGAATAATTTTGCGTAGCTCGTTACGGACGGAAATGGCGGCGATACGATGAAGGTATTTCCGCGGTCTCGAGACATTTAGTTTGTTGCACGCGCAACCGCCGGGGCCCCTTTGCTCTCTCGCAGGAGATCAGAAGATTGCCTTCGAGAGTCCGAGTACGTCCCGCCGCACTTGCCCGTTCCGCCGCGCCTCCAAACGACCGTTCTTCAGGCTCGATAGGGCAAGACCGGAACCACGGAGCGCCCCGGGTATCTTTGATCAAAGACGCTTCTCTGGATTGGATGCTCTGTCGTGATTCCGATGATGAATAATTGAGGAGAGCGAGCCGAGCGCGCCGAGAAATTTCGCCGTTCCCCGTTTCCATCAAGATCGAGGGAAGCATCGAGCGGTTAAATTTCTTTTTCGGTCGAGCGCGATATCGAACGCCGGCGCATCCTCAATATTCCCGCTGATCTCTCGGAATCTCGATTTTATACACATATATATATATATATATATTCGCGCGATGCATCGAGAAATAGGGAAACAAAAAAAACAAAAAAAACAAAAAAAAAGAAACAGGTTGCACACACACACTCGTCCCGGGGTCTGGCTATTGTGTGTGTAATGTTTCGGAATAGATTCCGATTGAAATAATGTCGCTCTCTTCGTTCGTTCGTTTTTTCCACATTGCGACTGTTATAAAAAAAAGAAAACTTCAATATGTTCTTTTTTTTTAATCTAATATTCGCGCGTGAGAAAATTCGAGCGAAGAGTCTTCGATTCGTTGCAACTCGTTGCAATTACACCGAAAAAATTGTAATCTTATTTTGAAGATATCCCACTTACTTTAAGTATATTTTGTACTAAAATAGACGCCAAGA